CCAAAATCCCCCCCCGGGCCGCCCCCCGAGCCGCCGCCCCCCGCCAAGCCCCCCATCCTCACGACCCACCGATCCCCGCTTGCTTCCCGGGCGCAGCGAGGCTTCCCCGTCCAGCTTCCGCGGTCTCGCCCGTCGCCCGCGGTGACGTCACTGGCCGCGCCTTCCAATCACCGCCCCGGCTGAGCGGCTGGCGCCGGGGGAGCGGCGCGGTGCTCGCCGGGAGTTGTAGTTTTGTCCCCCTTTTAAAAACTGGTTAGGTTTAGGGGAAGGGGAAGAGGACAGGCAGCTGCTTGAGCATGGGCAGAGGGCTGGCGAGGAGTTGCTGCGCTTTGGGGGGGTTGCAGAAGGAAACCTCCCGGGGGCAAGCGTCTGCCTTTTTTCATTTAAAACTAACCCTCAGCTCTCATGCAACCCTGTTGAAGTTATATTGTGCTATGTTTTCTATGCGGAATCATGAGAACTGGAAGCTTTATCATAAATATTTTCATTTAAATCTGTTGTCCATGCAGAACCATGAGGACTGGAACCTTTATTATAAATATTGTATTTAAATCCATTGTCCATGCAGAACCACGAGGACTGGAATCGTTATGATAAATATTTGTATTTAAATCCGTTGCCTATGCAGGACTGGAATCTTTATCATAAATATTCCCTTCACTATGCATGCAAAACGTGAGGACTGGAAGCCTGACATTATTACTTGAGGAAGGGCCATAGCTGCTGGCTTTCTGGTTGGCTCCGTTTCGTGACTTGGCATAAAAAGCACACTTTGGGTGTTCCCACACCACATCCCTCCCCTGCTCTCGCGCCCCGTGAGAGCACAGAACCATGAGGACTAGCATCTTGACTTCAGTTTCTTATATGTGTTTCCTTTGGTCGGGAAGGGAGCAGCCGAGAAACAGCAGAAGCAAACAGATCAAAATACCAGCGCGGCATCGAGTCCGGCCTTCTTCCCACGATGAGGACTGGCACCTTGCCTCCGTGGGTCGAGGAAGCGGCTTCCTGGGTTGACTCAGTTTTCTGACTGGCATCAGAGGCGGCGGGTCCGGCCCTTTCCCGTCGCCCAAGTGGACCTGGCCATGGGTGCTGGGAACCAGCGGCTCGAGCGTTCCCACTGCTTTGCCAGCCGGCGGCAGGGCGGCCGCGAGGGAAACCCGGGCACTTTGTTGGGCACAGGAAGGCGCGGCGGGGGCTCCTGCGTGGGGAC